GGGGGGGGGGGGGGGGGTGGAGGGGGGGGGTTGCTGGTTATTTTGGTTGAAGGCGTGGAAAACGGGGCGGAGAATCTAAAGGCGATTGTGATCTCCTCACTGTATTGTATGTGCGACACAACACTCCAATGCGGACATACAAATCATCTCCTCTCACTCACACACATACTAACAAAGCCCAAGAAAACAAGACAGAACAGAGCAACAAAAGCACTCGACCTTGTGGACTTCAGATTAAACAGGAGACATTAAACAGGACTCAGGTGCACCCATCAAAATAAGTGCATCATTCCCCAACTGGTATATTACATTACGTTTGTTTTGTTTTGTTTTGTTTTAATGAATGAGTACATGACGGTAAATGTTGTACAAGTGTTCTTATTGCTTATATGGACAGAAGTACAATATTGTCTTTCTGCGTTGTAGACTTTTAAAAAATATGTTCATATGCAGCTAATTTGCATTACCAAATGTGTTCTGCAGGAAGTGTAATTCTACAATGATTATGTTTTTTACCAACGAAACAAGGATACATTTATATTGTACACATCTGAAAAACATTCACAGTCAAATAGTCTTTCATGTGGTTTTACTACAGTATTGGCTTGGGGAAACTAAACTACATTTTAAACCTAACAGCATGTAAGACACAGGACATGAAACAATAATTTTTGGTATCTATATCCTGTGGTATAAGAATTTCACATTTTGTAAACAATTTAATCCAGGCAGCAATTATGTTTCCTATAAAATATAATAATGTATGTAACATAAGTGTATTCTTTCTCCGAGTAAAGTAAGTTTACAATTCCAGTGTGTGAACCTGTCATGTCTGTAATCTGCTGTGGCAAGGAAATAACAATTACTAACAGCAACAGACGTCCTTGAAGAAAATGCAATCATGGGAAGCGAGCATGATTAAAAGGACATACAAGAAAAAAGCAACAACGAAATAAACAGCTGCAAGAAATATGTGTGCGGGTGCATGCATCTCACCAGAGCAAACTCCTTGTTGAGGACCATCTGCTCCAGCAGTGAAGCCGACTCGTGTGGAGGCTGCATGTGGCTCCACATGTGGGGGAACCACCAGAACTCATCCACATACTTCAATAGCAAATCGTCTCCTTCATCCTCCTCAACCGTACCTGCACACACACACACACGTAACCACACACAAGGACAAAAGGACAAGAAATATAATGCACCCTTCATGCAGATTTAGATGCACATCAAAAAAAAATTGCTATATAGAACTCATCCCTGACATAAGGTTAGAGCACACAACCAAGCAACTGGGTTGATTTAAGGTTGTGTTGCTAAATAAGGTGGCAGGCAGTCTGATACCATGGTGATGAAAAGTGATACCATAGCAATAACAGATGCTATGGTAATATGTTCTACTTTGTATCAGATTTCTTCTAATTATAATTATGTTCAGTCTCATCTCTATTCTTTTCTTTTCCAGTGTATCCTACTTCTTTGTTCTCTTGCTGCAGATTTAGACACTTTAACTAGAAAATCAATAAAATCTGTCCTTGGAACCGCAAAAGAGCTTAGCATGCACAGCAGTGTGTCACCACCTCGGAAATATGCCTGTATAAATATTACAAGAGAGACTATGAGATAAAAAAGATATTTTTTTAAGATGAATAGCATAACTTAACACATATACACCCTACAAGCTATATCAACAGTGTGGGATTGATTACTCCTGCTAAGAACGCTGTGCTGCAAATTCATCCTTTCTTCAGTAAATTGTATTTGGTAGTTTGTTTGGTGCTGACTTTAACAGTCTTTATGTGTTTCATTCAAATATATTTTTGTTACTGTAAAAAAAGTCTAAGTCAAAGAATTTCTGCCCTTGCTTTCATCTTTATAGAACATTTATTTTACACAGATTCATGACCTCAGCAATGAAGTAATTGTTATGTATCTATTATTAAAGGTGGAGAGAGTTAATAGATGCACACAGACTATGTAGTGTGTTTAGACGCATGACAGAAATCTATATAATAAAAACAACTGTAAAAAACACTGTGTAACCTGCCATCTTTCAAATAAATCTGGCACAGATTTTCCATCACAACTCCTTACTGTTTGGTAAGAATTGTGCCTTCTGAATTCCACATAACAACATGCTCTGCTGAGGCCAACACTGGGGAACATCTAAACATTTTTTTCATTAATTGATTGTTGTGCTAGGTGCCAATGAACTTTAATGTGAACATTTCAATTTAAAAATTCCGCTTCATCCTTCATCATACGAACAAACAACAGTTGAGGAGGATTAGCCCCACAAGGTCTGTGCATGACCATCAAAAAAATGAAAAAGAAATGGAAATGAAAACAGATTTTTACATGAAATTACCATACCAATGGATAGCACTCATTTAATGAAGGCAAATTATTTTATCCCAAAAACCTTAACCTGTGCCATTTTGACAAATGACATTTCAAGCAAACCCCATTGAAATTAATGAAGCAATGTATGATCATTAAAACCAAATGAGTTTAATGAGATTAAAAAAAAATGTTTTCAAAGTAAAGTTTTATAGTTTTAGTAATTATATTTCTTATAGTTACTGAGTAGGTCTGGCACTCGTTTATTAATACATGGAAATAATATAATAATTACAACAGAACACACCTGTGTGGTAGAACTTCCCAGAGAAGCCCAGGTTGAAGGTAAAGTTGGAGATCTGAGAACGCAGCTGCCGCTGAGTAGTCAAAGGGAGAGCCGTAGAAAGAAAGAAAGAGAAGATGAATAGATAGATAGATAGATAGATAGGATATATAATAGGAATAGATAGATAGATAGATAGATAGATCACATTCAGCCCATTCAACTACTCAGACAGCCCACAGTATATCAGGTTCATTTTTACCCCGCCTGCACTTGCACAGATATACGACTGATCTGTCTGATTCAGGTCTTATGTCTCTCTGGTGTATATTTAAGTCCTTAGAGAACTTGTGATCACGATGGATGTGTGTACTCAACAGTGCTTACAGTATTTTACGGCTTGCCAGTCACCAACATGTTGCCAGTCACCAACATGTTGTCAATCAGGTTTCATTATTTTGTCTGTTGTTATTTTATTTTCTATGTGTGTTCGGGTTGGCTGTTCCTGTCCTTAAAGTTACCTCAGTCTCTGGTTTCAATACTTGAATCAGGATTTTCTCCACTTATTTAATGACTTCATTAGTTTACTGGCCTTTAAACAAAGACTCTGTAATGAGTGTTAACTAAAGAGAGTTGCACTCTCACACACACAGTCACACACAACGCGACCAGTGAATGGCGAAGGGTTAATGAAAGGTCAGCTGCATTAGTAGGCCTCTGGGAAGGGTGGAGCTAATAACCCCCCACCACACTCCTCCCTGTTCTCATGCATGTCTGTCTCATCCAATCCCTTAACATGTACCAAGTGAAGACCCTGCCATCCCCCCTTCCTCTCCCTCTCTCTCTCTCTCTCCCTCCCTCTGCTGCTGCCTCCTTTCTTTCTGGTTCTCCCTCTATTCTTCCATCTTCCTGCTTCTGAGAACCTGCAGTCGCCCGCCTTTCCCCATTTGTCTTCCACCTCCCTCCTAACCCCCCAGCCCACCCTTCTCTGAACCTCCATCTCTCCCTCGCCTGCTCCGTGAAAATGTCACATTCTCAGGAGACGGGGCTGTTCTAATTTGAAAGGAAGGCTGAAGCAGCATGGAGGAAAGATCACTCTCTCTCTCTAACTCTCTCGCCTTGCTCTTTCTCTTGCACTCTCCTACCCCATCTTCTTGCCATCGCTGCACTTCTTGCACAAATATTTTGTTTATTTATAAAACTCTTACAATTCTCTGTATATTTCAGTCTGTCTTGGTCTTTCTGTTGGGCTACGAGCCACATCTCTATTGCCAATCTTTGTCATGTTGCTTTTAATCGATCCCCAGGAACCCTGCCTGATTTACGAGACCTGAGCAGCTGATGTCAGAGCAAGGAATCGGTTCCAGGCAGTTTCTCTCTCTCTCTTTACACCTTCTCTACTCCTGTGTATGTGTGTGTGTGTGTGTGTGTGTGTGTGTGTGTCCCAAACTAACAAATATACAGACACATGCACAGAGTGTCTTCATTAGCTCTAATCTAATGGTGTTGAAGATGGCTGCATGCTGACAGATGTGCACAGCTCCCTAATCTGATCCCCTGTCCCCTCTGTTATGACATCCTCTACATCTTACACACAGACACACACTCACGCACACACGTTTGCCTATCCACACACAGGCAAACGTGTGGATACAAAGACTTAAGAATTAAATTAAGTTTGTAGCTGAGTACTTTGCATTGTAACTTAATATAAACTCCCTGATGTGTGTGTTGGTATCTGTAAGAGTCAGCATAGGTGTGTGTCCAAGTGTGCACGTGTATATTAGTTTAAACACCTCATTTGTATTCTGCTACCTAACATCGACAGCAGAAGAGCACTTTTGTGATGTGTCAGTGACTCAGAGCCACAAATGACCATAAAGGTGTTTTTGCATGTTTTACTATCAGAGTGAACATTTTGCCACTTTTATTTCTTTTTTGGGAAAGGTGTGTTTTCATTGTGCAGTAATGCCATTGTGCTGCATTGTATGGATGCTCCGTCTTCTGAGAACTGATAGTTGACTCTTGAAAAGTATTGCGCACCAAACCCCAAAAAATAACATTAAAAAGGGTAATGTGGACATGACCATTTCTCGCATTAAAGTTGTTGTTCAGCAGCCAAATCATACAGAGAACACACTCACATGGAGAGTTTTCAGAACACTCCCGTTTCGCAACCGCAGCACTGATTATGAAACTTTCACAGGCAACAAATTGCTCACTGTGATGGATCAGCTTTCTCAAGCAAGTATCACTTCTCTGCAAAGTGGTTTTCAAACCATTCAAAAGATGTATTATGTAATAGGCTACATTTAATAGATAAAGTTCACAGTGCACTGCTTTCATTTCAGATTGGGTACAATGAAGAGGACACCTTTGGCAAAATAACATTTTTGTTTCTCTATACTTTAATTCATTTGACATTTTTGATTTTTGTACCTGCTCGACATTCATAATGTTCCTCTTAGGATTTGGTGGTGAATAGTACCTTTATCCAATTATTTTATCTAATTACTAAGTCTCAAAATATTCAAAACTTTTTTTAGATTTCTGGTCGACTTTATCAAACTTTATCCATGGTTTCTTTATCAGACTGTATCTTAGCTTATACAGGCTGTATTACATAATACACAATATATTCTGCATTACTCACAACAGTGAGTACACTTTCTTTTTTTATCCTCTTATGATGCTTAACAGAACTAGTTTGTAATTTCATTGTGGTCAGACAACAGAAGGCTGAGTAGACAGCCAACTATCATAGAGAGGTGGGAAACATGCTATTGTTTAAATATACTCTACACATTTTCAGACGGTCTTAGAAGGCATCCCTACTGTTGTATTGGTTGTTCACGTGAAAAGTGGCAGAAATAGCCATGTAAAGAATGAAAATAGAGAGCTGGGAGAGAACTTCAAACCCTGGTTTCTTATTCACCTCAGCACAGCGGGCTAATCACAGCATAGATTGGGTGTGAATGATTTTTGGTCGTTTGATCGTCAGACATAGCCTCCCAAATCCACCGTCAAAAAGGTGTGGGGGAGTGGATTTCTCAAGCCATTCAACCATCCGACACACATTTCTGAAAAGTTTACTGGCAGCTTAAGGCCCTCAGTGATTTCCATAACCTGCCTGGTTTTACAACATCTTATTTAGGCGAGTCAGAGTGTGTCCTGTGCAGTTCTCCAAACAACATGGATAAGGTTTGCTTGCCAGTTATCTGTCACAGGCAATAATAGAGTAGTAAAAGCTCGCTTTATCAGCAAAACAAAACCACATCAGGATACCACAACCACAGAAATGGCAACAGGATGTTTTGTTAACACCTGAGTGAACCAAAAACAATGTGCTGGGTGAACTGTGGCAGTTTACTGCCCTCAAATTAAAGATGTTGAGACAGTTATGGGAGGATACTGTAGATCATAAGGAGGCAGAACTGTGAGTACAAACAATACCCAGCAATAAAAAAAGAGTGTACATCTTGGTCAGAAACATACTGAGCATATGACAAAACCCTAACTCTGGCTCTGAGGGACAATGAAGTCCTCTCCTGCTGTTTTTCTGAGGGTAACAGCAGTCAGATCCGGGAGAATGGAGGGCTTTGAGCAATATGGAGTCAATCTGTCCGCTGGATACTGAGCTCAAAGCTGGAGATGGCTTTAAAATGGGCCATAAGAGATACTTCATAAGAAAGAAGAGGGGATTTGGATTAGCAGGAGGTGGGACTATGTAGTATGTGAGAGATCTTCACAATCCTACTGATGAAGGTAAACACACACTGTGATTAGCGGTTAGTGATATCCCTCATTTCTGTGCCCAATCCCACAGCTGCCTAACACTGCTAGTGTCAGAAGCAATGCCAGTTTGTTTCTGTGTACGTGAGAGCGGCAGCGGGTGTGTGTGTATTCTTGTGTGTGTGGTAAGCACTGGAATAGGTGCCAGCTAGATGTTGGGGTTCAAACAGATGGGAGACAGGCATCTGGACAGCTGGCATTCACTGCGTTTCACAAACCCTTTACGCCAACCACCTCTCCACTATATCCCCATTCTGTCATTCTCGCCTTTGCACTGCTTTCTTTTCACAGCGATAAGCCTGGCTGGGAGATCAAAAAGAACAAAAGTAATTATAAAATAACTTATTTGTAAGTGGGATTTTACATCCAAACAGATTTGAAGGCAGGTTGAGAAGAGCAATACATTTAAACACATTTACAGGGTTTAATTTTTGTGCAAAAGCAGGCCAAAGTTCTTCATTCATCTCTTTGAATGCATGTGTTTGTGTCAGTGTGTATCTGTGCATGTAATGTGAACACTAGACCAGCAAATTTAACTGGGTCAGGCATCTCTATTTGATGAGCAGGAAGAGCGCTTTACCAGTTAATGCCAGTCCTCCTTTTGCTTACTCTTCCCTTTTCTGTCTCACTTCCAGTCTCGCTTGTCAGATTCAAGTCAGTATGGCTTTTTATATTGGAGCATTTTACAAAATCATCTATTCACTTGCATTTACGGATCCAAGGTACTTGTGATTGCTTTGGCATCGCTATACTTACTAAATTCTACTTGGCAGCCCCTCAAGGATTCTGAGTTTCAGTGATTGCTGTGACCGCAAAAACCTGCCTCATTTTGTGGAAGAAAATGCATGGCACACAGCCACACTCTCAGAGTGAATCTGGAGTAAAAACAAGACCACTGACAAAAAATTGTTAATTAAATAAAAAAGTTATTAAGATAATTTTCTGGTTGATAAATGTATTCACTACAATGACAGTGATGGCTGTCACCCCCCCCCCCCATGGTGTAAAATAAAAATGAAAACCTGTGATTGTGATTTTCCTTTCTGATAGCGTAACTGTAAAACTTTTCCTTCCCTGCAGGGCTGACTGTGATAATTTCACTTGTCCAATCAGGGGGGCGAATGAGAGCAGATGTTGGAAAGCATCATGCTGAAAGCAATATCCTGTTCCTCTCTTTCTTAGATGTCATATGTCTCCTTTTCTTCCTTTCTCACCTGCAACATTTTAAAAACCATTAAGATCCAACACCTAAGGTTTCAAGGGTGCCAGCCTTTGCCATGTATTAAATGACAAAATAAAAAAATATATAGTTGCGCCAACAGAAGCACTGACAGCAGTCTTTTTACTTCTTAACTCCCATTTCCTTATCTCTCTCCCCTGGTTTTCAAATCTTTTTCTCCACTGTTTATGTCTTTTCTTCATTACTTATGTAATAGAATTTGGCAAAGTAATAAATGGATATGTAAGGAGCTCGGTTCCATTGACTTAAGTGGCAAATATGCATCATACTTAATTAGCTCTAAAGATTAACTCTAAGAAGGACTGCACAATAAATTCCGGATTGCTAAGCCAAAAATCTTCAATGAAGTCTGAATATTGCCCATTTTTTGTAATTCCTTTTTTTGTTTTGTTTTCAATTTTAGGTCATTGCCAAACCAAAGTGAACATGAGGATATGAAAAAAACACTAGACATTTATATTTTTCATTTCATTCGTGCTCCCCCCATTATTCGTTTATCTCACACATTCCTCAGTGTAATGCAGTAATATGTAGAATAACTACCTTCTAGCTGGAGATGTTAAAACTGGCTTCCTATTCAGTCATAACAGTGAAATAACATTTTATGGCTTATTAGGCCACATGAAAGTAGCAATTATTTGACTTGCCAAATTAAACAAAGTAATGAAATTGCCAAAACGGCCCCACTGAGTCTTTGGAAACGCATGTTTTAATCTTATTTAGCCAATTCTCCTTTTCAGGAGTACAACAGACTGGCTGCCACAACATAAAATGGGACTAAAACTTGCACCAAGCACAGCTACACAAAAAGGTTCCTAGCTGTGCATATCACCAAGCCGCTACCTTCCGTTAGATTAAATCGCCAAATACCTAGTCAGTTCAAGTGAATGCAGCACTTTGTGCAAAGAGAGTGTGTCTTGGCTTGGCTCGTACAATATGTGTGTTCATGTGTGTGTGTGTCCTCTCAACTTAGGTGACACTGCTTCAGAAAGCACCTTGGGGAGGAAAAGAGTGAGAATGAGTTGATAAAGAGGTTTAGAGAGGAATACAAATAGGCTGGAGATAGTGATCAATGACTCAGACATGGAAGAGGGTGAGGAAAAAGGTGAGTGAAGGAGGAGGAAGGGGAGAAAGGAGGATGTGATAAAGAGGGATCTGAAGATGAGAATCGGACACCTCCCTAACGACGACTCCAAGGCAGAGAAGAAGAGAAAACCTACACGCATTAATTAAAAAACACAAGCACTGGCACACACGTATCATTGATGGGAGTTTTTGACTGGCATCATCTCTCATTTTGAGAAATGTCATCTGTGGGGTGCCTCCCTGTGAATCTTTTTAATAGAGGAAATACAGCTGTGTGTGTGGGAGAGTGTGTGTGCAGACAGGAGGGGGTGTAGGTATTGTTTGTCACCAGATGAACTCGTGGGGTGAGACTAATGAAGAGTGCAGAGTGAAGGAGGGAGGCATTTTAATTGGCCTCTCTCTCTCTTTCTGTCTCACTCCTCTACCTTCTTCTCTCAGCGAGAACAGGAGATTGAATGTTGGCTTTACAGAGGTAAGAAGGGATTTCTAACACTGGCTCTCTAAAAACCGTGTCCTACTAATTGGTCAATAACACATCCTGTTACATACTTTGATACAGTGTTACACATAAGCGGTCTCTGAAGCACTCCGGATGAGAGAGGATTTAAATTTTCACATAACTTGTGTGTCATTCATAATCAGTCAGTGCGATATGTTTGTGCTGTGGTGGCTCGTAACTGACGTTTTCTTATAGCATTTTGCAGTGCGACAAAATTTAGAAATAAAATATTCTTAGATATCTGTAGTGTCATTATGGTTGTCAGTCAGTTTGTCCTGACCCGAATTTAACCTTTACTCATCAGTCGATTTTACACAACCTCAACTTCTACACGTCCTTACATCTTCCTTTTATGATTAAATAGTTCATTGGATTCTATCAGTATTCGCCTTCAGCTTTTCAGCTGTCACCTTCATCCAAAGCTAGATGTATATTTGACACATGGCCATGTAATATGAGTCATCTTTTCAACAGCTTTTTCAATGGCACTGCTAAAAAGGGAAATACTTCCATTTAAGAGCTAACCATCTGAAAGCTAACCAATGGCGTTTACTAATCAAACAACCCCTGCGTCACTACAAAGATAACTGACATTTAGAAAAGATAACAATAAAATAAATTGGTTGATGCACACAATTATGAATATATGTGGTTTACCCATGTATACACACTTGTCACTTATACAAAATATGCCTCAAACTGTAATCTGACAACTCTACCTGAGGCTCTCCTTCTTTGAGGGGAGTGCTGCTACAAATCACCATATTCCTGCTCCTCTACCATCCCTCCTCTGCTTCCCCATTTCCCTTCAGCATTTTGTTTCTCTGAAATCGCAAAGTTAGCTGCTAGCTCTTTCCCCTAGGCACCATACTCCAACTTCTCCTCCCTCCCTTCCTCCCTTTTTTCCTTCTTTTTCCTCTACTCTTCTCTGTGATTGCCAACTATCCTGAAGGAGAGAGAAGAAATGTGGAAGGAGCGTGAATGTTTCAAATGGCATCGCTATCTTTTTTCTGCCCCCCACCTCTCTCTCTCTCTCTCTCTCTCCCTCCCTCCCTATCTCTCCATCTCCCCCTCTCCACCTCTTCCTCCATCCCCATCTCCCTGTCCTTCTGTTATGGCACTGGTTCATCCTCATGTATATTTATGCTACAAAGCTGAAGAGTCAGGCAGACCTAAAATGAAAACTCAAACTAGAGAGCGCTTGTGTGCTCATTTTGTGAATGTGTATGCGCACGGGTGTGCGTGCACTCTGTGTGTGAATATGCACTCTTTTATCCTTTTTGGATACAAGCATCTTTTTTATATTCAAGGGTGGAATTCCTCTCCACTTCACCACCCACTGCCCTCCTGTATTCTCAGCCTCCCCATTCCTCTCATCTCTCCCCCATGTTTCAGCCACAGACAGGTGGCTGGGTTTTTTTCAGTCCTTGACGGGACAGGTGTCAGCCATTGACAGAAAGTGACATTCTAATCTAAAGTAGTGATTCAGAAAACACCCACACACAAACACACACACATATATATATACGCACACACACTTCCTGTACATCCTGTGGCTGCACAGAGACGGGCAGACACCTCTGGGTTTAGCTCATGCACATCACTGCAGATCAGCATAAATCTCACCTGTCTTAAAGTCCCCACACACACACACAAATACACACATTCCCACACATGAAAAGCCAGCAAACACTATTTGTTTCCCTTGAATGTCCCTGAGTGAGGGAGCAGTGAGAGAATGTGACCACTAATTTCAAACAAAACTAAATTCCTCGTGCAGAAGCATTTTATCCACACTGCAGCAAACCTGGGGTGTTTCTCCACTCTTTAGAAATATTAAGTTCCCCCAGAAATTAGGGTTAGTATGCATGTGAGTGTGTGTCTATGGAGGTGCACATCTAAGTATATATGTGTGTGTGTACGTGTGTGTGTGTGTTTGCTCATGCAAGCGTGTGTGTTGAAACAATAGCTGTCTTGAGAGGCGGGCTGCATGGCTGACTCTCCTTTAGTTTCCCTTAGAGGAGGAACGTGGGAAAAGAGGAATAAGTGCCATTCATCTTTTCACTGGCTCATTCACTACCTCTCTTTCTCTCTCTCATCTCTCCTCTTTCTCCCTTTCACTCCAAGTCTTTGTTCCCTTAAATGGCCTCTTTACTTCTGGCTAATTCTCCATTTGAGATAAATACCCTCTCGCTGTACCCCAACACATATGCACTTGGTACACAACACACACACACTCTCACACACACGCATGGGCTTTCCAAAATAGCCCCTCATGCCCAAGCTAAAATCCTCAGAAATACAGTCCAGGTAAAATCTTTTGCTGAGGTGTCTGCAGACTGACATGGTAATATGTAAACATTGCTTTTTTTTCACTACTACACTGCCATCAATTACTGATTTTAGAAGTTGATCAGAATGAAAAATCTAATCCAACACTACTGACCCAACATGAATTAATTCTCTCTATTCCACTCTGTCTCCCAGTAATGCACATTATCACACCCATCACCCTCAATACCTTCACATCCTTGGCGTTCATGCGTGTCCCTTCCTTCCCCACGAAAATGTCATCTATATCCACCAGTATGTGCCGGTCCAGTCCCAATGTAAGCTTCCTGTCTGTGAGGTAGGAGATGGCATCCACCAGGATGAGTCTGTGGAGCCAGTAGCCCAGTCCCTGGCCAAACAGTACCCTCCTCACCCCATCATATAGTCCCATGTCCTGTACCACAGTGGCCTGAAGGCCTAAACTAAAGCCAGGCCCTGGATTATCACCGCTACCTGCCCCTGCTCCCTCCTTGGCCCGTGCATGCAACACAGCCTGGTAGGTGGAGTGATTGGATGAAAAGGAGGTCCAGTCCTCCCCAGGTAAAGCCCCTCGATCTGTGCCGGGCTTGGTCAAGTGGAGAAGAGGTGAGCTGGACACCACACAGCAATCCCAAAGTGCTTGGTTGGTCCTGAGCACCAGTGGGAGACCTCGGAGTTTGAGGAGAGGTGGGGAGTTCTCAGTGGAGCGGTAGAAACCAATGATGCCCACTCTGTACTCAGTACAGTATTGATGCAACAGCTGTCTGTTCCATGTGTCTGCATGTGCATACTTTAATAAATTCTCATAAATAATGAGTGAATATCGGCCGCGGCCTTTCTCTGTCAGTGGTGGAAGGTCACCCTTTCCTGAGGCGATCTCCATGCGAAACTGGAAGTGTGCTGACTCCAATATAGCCACAATGTCCTGACCCAGCTGGGAGTACTGGGATTCCACAAGTACCAGCACCACCGGATCAGTGTGGACATGTGTGTGAGGGGGGTTCGGAGGATACGGGTATGGAAGTTGATGGTACGGGGACATGGAGAGCGGCTGGGAACAGGCCGGTTCGGGGGATTGTCCAAGCTGCATGGAAGGGGAGGAGTTTGTAAACAGAAAGTAAGCAGAGAGGAGGAGGGAGAGGAGACAGCAGGAGGCCAGCAGGAGCAGGAGCCTGCGCAGGTGGCGACGGAATCGCACAGCCACCGTCATCGCGAAGTGGGGAGGTGTTGCACGTAGGAGGAGGAGAAGGAGATGTCTTTTTTAGTTTGCTGGAGCCTAGACGAGTATGTGCACAAGTTTAGGGGGTTGAGGTGCCCAAAAGATTGTCTTTGTATGTGTGAAAAAGGAGCAAAGACACTCAGGTGTGCGTCATGTCACCATGGCAGGTGGAGAATGGAGCTGTGCCGGATGTTGGGGAACAAAGGTCTTCATTCAGGAAATGTGGTTCGAGGTACTCTCCTTCCAGTCCTCATGGAGGAATCACATGCAGAGATGATTAATGCCTGCAGAGAAAGGGGACAAGGAGAAAAGAAGAAAGAGTAAATTTGTTGGGCAAGGTTGGATAGTATGGATTAGTTCTCTGTGTGCGTGCTTGGGTATGTGTGTGTTTGTGTGTGTG